TAGGGAAACTGAGGGGCATGCCAGTGGTAAGATCAGGTTTCAGTCTTAGGTAGACTGACATTCGAAATTAACAAAGAAGAGAGAGAGAGACAGAGAGGGAAAGAAAAAAGAGTGAAAAAGAAAAAAGTAAAAGAAAAAAACCTTGAATTGACAAAGAAAGAACTATTTTTCTATTAAATGTCACCCTAGACAACCACCCCCCCCCCCCCGCAATAAAAGGTGGGTAATATTCTGGGCAATCTTAACAACTTTACCAAATGTTTAGTTCACATCAGGTTTCACTTGGAACTTGAAATTTTTGTAAATATTTATATAAAATGTAAAGGGGGAACAGGAATAGGTCATACACTGTCATTGGTTAAACAGAAGCAACTTCCCATCACTCCCGAGGCCTGGGTGCTGCTTTCCCAAACATAGCCCCAAGTGTGCCAAAACTTATCTTCTTTTCCAAGGAAATGTCAATCTTTTCAGCCAGCCCTGACTTCTGAACCGCAAGTGTCTCTGATAGGATCATACGTCACTGGAGCTTCTTCGACATCCAGATAGGGAAAGGAGAGGAACAGGAAGGTAGGTAGAAGTGGGGTTTGCTGTCTGAACCACAGGTTTTGACAAACCTGTTCCATCTTCTATTGTTTTTTGTTTCTTGTACATGAGGGCAGGGACCATGTTCACTATGTGCTATGTTCCCTACCCCACACCCAGTCATCGCCTTGGGAATAGATTATATACAGAGGATGGCAAAATGAGCCTTATACAGTCAGGAAGAGATGCACTGCCTACAGATGAAATTCTTTCCAACATAAAATGAAAACTGTTCTCTTCTGCAGAATGGGCACAATTCCTATTTCACAGGGTTGTTTTGAGGAGTCAATGAGTTACATATAGATAAAGTTATTAGCACTGTTTCTGGCACATGGTGAGCATTCAATAAATTACAGCTATTATTTTAGTGGGCCTTTTCAAATGCCAAATTTTTGTGGAGGTCCTCAAGTATGAAGATTAAGTAGCCAAGTTACCCCATCTGGTCAATAACAACTAAATAGAGGGCAGGTAGTTCAAAAGCTATGAATGATTTACCTGCAGAGGATTACATGGTGTCCATGTGTTAATTTTCTGGCCTTTCAACTTGTATCCTCTATTAAAAAGAAAGCTATCAATCCTTGAGTGGAACTCAATGTTGATTTCAAGTTTTGCCTTTCTCGTATCATTCAATTTCCCCAACAGCTATGACCTGTAACCCATTCATTTGGGGGAGACTCCCAAATCATCTCCGATGGGTCAGGCCTTTAGAAAATAGCCAAATTCAGAAATACCAAACAGTAAGATGTATTAGTCCATTCGGTGGGAATACCTGCAGGCCAGCTCTAGCTCTGACAAGTTCTCATCCAATATCTGAAACATTTTTGAGCTAATATTTAAAACTCAGGGGATTCCACATAAAAATCCACATATCCAGGTTCCCTTGGAAAATCCAACCATGTGGCAACACAAAGCCAATATCCCCACCCACTCCTGCCCGACAGAAAGGAGCTGGGACAAAGTAGCAGTTACCTGCCACTCCAACCCATCCTCCCTCCCTCACCAGGACCAGTGAAAAATAAAAAAGAAGGGCTCCGTGTTCAGTAATTATTAAAGATTTCAAGGAGACAACAGGTGGAGACAAAACCAAGTGTGAGGTCCTTCTGAGCAGATGAGGGGAGGGGGCCCCTGTGCAAAGGTGCAGATCACACACCCATGAAACTGGCCCTGCTCCCCACCCCTTCACCAAAGAGGAAAGATATTTATTTAAATAAGTATTCTGTCTTTCATTAGGCTTCAAGCCAGCATTTACACCAAGCCAGACACCACAGCCCCTGAGACCTGAGGTGCAAAAAGTAGGGCAGTGGAGCCCCGCACAGCTGAGCTAGGGAGCCACTGGGATCTCTCTCTTCCCTTGTTAAGGCTGGAGCCATACCAGGGACACTAAGCATGAGTTAATCCAAGGAAAATTAAACTGCTCCCAACGATGCAGATTGGTTTGGGCTCTTTTGTTGGCATCACAGGAGTCTCGACTACAGATTCTAAGGAACAGCTCACAGTGCTAATGAGTAAGTCCAGGCAGCTGTGCAGACAGTGGGCCCACAAGTGAGGAGCTGGTCTAGGGGAGATTTGAACATGAACCTGACCATCTGGCTCTCTGTGATTCACTTTGATCACAAAATGAATTGCAACAAATTGAAGAGCACATGGCCAGAGTTAATTGTCTCATCTGTAATCTGAACCTACTTTTAAGCAGTTATTATTACCCTCTATCAGGTGGAAACGTTTCCTACCATCACTGCAAAGTGCATTTTCCTGATGAACTGTAATGGATCATTAAATTCCATATCTGAATAACAATACTCTGCACTTACGCAGTGCCTTTCATCCAGGGATTTCAAGGCAGTTTGCAAATAATTAAGCCCCTCACACAGCAGCCAGAGGTGAGGGACTGGAAGGGACTTGCCTGGAGACACTGAGTTAAAGGCATAATTTGATAGAAAGACTAAATGGCTTCCTCCTAGGCACTAGTAATACTGAAAAATGAATTAGAGGGGAGGTGGCGTCCAGATTTCCTCTCTCGCCTTCTGCGTTACTTCTTCTCTATGGCATATAGTCACATGCAACACAAAAACCCGAGAAGTACTAACAGGGGTGGTTCATAACTTAGTGATGAGTTCAGACATACATATATATGAGGACATTGTTTCTTATATAATCCTCGCATATACAATACAAACTGACACTTCAATCCACCTGCAGAATCAACAGATACCAGAAGAATTAACTCAACACATTTATGATTACCAAATGGCAAACCTAAAGCCTTCCAAAATCCAAAATGAAAATGCTGCTCTGCACAAATAAAGTATGTTTTAAAAGTACTTTATCCCATAATTGTGTTTTCCATTTCTGGGACCCCATATGAATAATTTTCAAGTTTCCGGAAGAGCAAATATAATGGAAGTGGGCAATCAATGCATTTTTTTTAAACCAGAACACTAAAAGGGAAAAATCATTTCAGCCACTCAAAGTTTTGTGGTGAAATTGTAAACTTCTGAAAAACTGAATTTATAATGGAAATGCTGACAGACCTTTCACTGGAACAGTTTGAACGCAACACTGTAATTTAGCAATCTCGCTTACAGACTAAAGACTAATTCTAACAAGATGTCATTTTGACTCACGTTTATTATTACCTGCAAGAATGAAAAATGCCGTCTACTCGAGAGCTCCTGGAGAACCAGGGTGGGGCAATCTCACATTTTAAACAAGACTTTTTCTGCTTTACCAAAATAGCCCTCTCCGCTGAAGGAGTGGCAGCCTTTCACGCTCAGCTTCTTTCATGTCAGCCAGAGCCTTCGCAGCTAGACATGCCTTTACTACATGTTACATTTTAATGATCTGAGACAACCGTTATCAGAATTAACATCTCTAATTTTACTCTAAACAGACAAAAGCAAAATATCTCATTAGGCATCATCTCTGCCAAGGTTCCCACTAGGCAGGAAAGAATTCTTATTTAAAGTAATTACCCTTTTTAGTTAAATACACGCAACAGATTCAATATACACAGAGATTAAGAGACTGCAACACTAGACAGGGAAAGTGAAGACCGAGGAACTCCGCGTCTCGCTATCCGCGGGTCCACCAGGAGTCTGTGGCTAAGTCGGGGGTGGGGCGCCCTCGTCCCTCTTGGTTTCCAGCGTCCACGGGTACCCGCGGCCGCGAGCTTCTCTGGCCACAGACTAAACCTTCTTGACAGCGGCTGGGCCGGAACTTTCCCCAAGTTGTCAAATTCGCCCACACACCAAAGGGTGCTGGGGATACCCCGCGTACCCACGATCCCCGAAGCCAGGGGTGCGCAGCCCTTTCATACACACACACCCGGCCCTGCCTGCTTCCTCCCACAGAGTTTCTGCAAATGCTTGGCCAGCCCGAGGTCACCAAGATGCTCACTAGAGTCCCCTCTCGCGGGCAGCTGGGGTAGTCCATGAGCGCCGCCCGCTGCCCTCTGTGTGGGCGCTAGGCTCCTGAGCACCTACTAGGTGCGAGAACTGCAAGACCCACAGGGCTCTTCCGCATGGGAAGGTGGAGAGGTTTTCCCTAGGTCAACTCCTTTTCTTAGATTGAGCTTCTGGGGTTTGGGGAATGAAGTGTGTGGGGAGGGGGGGAAGAGGGTGCATGTTGCACTTTAATTTCATGCAAAATCTTTGGGAAAGGGATATACAAGTTTTCGCCCTGTGACAGCACGAGCCCCTTGGTTTACCTTCCTAGAGACGCATTCCGATAACCCGGTCACTGGCTAATAGGGATTCCATCCAGCATGCAGCCCGCGATCTGTGCTGCGAGGCCCCAACCTGCCTCTCCTCGGTACTCTGAAATTGGGCTTTGATGCCCCGCTAGTCTCAGCGGCTCTGGCTACCCGGCGGCGACTGACAGCTGAGCGCAAAAGCGTGGTGGCCGTGGTCCTCACGGAGCAGCCCTGGGCACGCAAGCCGCAAGCAGGTTGGAGGACGTCCAGTCCCTCGCGGAGATCACGGGCTGGGGGCCGGGGCGCCCCGGCCTCGCTGGGCGGGGAGCAGGGCCGTGGGTCTGACAGCTGCTCCCGCTCGGGCGGACGTGCGCCCCACTCCAGCCCGCCCTCCGCACGCCTGACTTATTACCCTCTGCTCCTCCTCCCCCTACTGTTCCAAAACACCCGTCGACGCGAACGAAATACAATGCCGCCTCGCCCGCCGTAAACAGCCAGGCGAGAGGGCGCACATTCGCCGCGGCGCGTCCACCCGCTCGGCTCCCACCGCCTTCCCGTTCCTAGAAAATGCCATAAAAACGGGCAGGGCTCTCGGCCGTCGGCAGCGCGCCGGGCGATCGAGGCTCCCTTCCAGCGACGCTTCCCCACGCCTCCCCGCGCACCCACTGTCCCCTCAAACTTGCCCCGACACCCCGCCCAGCGCCTTGGCCCGGGACCGGGGACTCACCTCACCAGAGAACTTTGCGTCCTTTTCCTCCTTCTCTTCTCTGCGTCTTCTCTGCCCGCGGCCCCCTCCCGGAGGCCGGCGCGGTGGGCGGTTCGGGGGTCACCGAAAGCTCGAGGAGAGGACGCGCATCACATGGCAGCTTGTTCCCAGCTCCCCGAGTGTAGCGTGAAGGGGGAGGGGAAGGATCGAGGGGAGGCCGGGAAAAAGCGAGAGCCCGGCGGCAGCGGGAGTGGGCAGGAGGGTGGCGAGGGCGGCGGCGGGCACTCACACTAGCGCTGCAGCGATCGTAGCCCGGGAGTGCACGGTCGCTGCTGCTGCGGCTGCTGCTGCTGCTGGTGAGGCGGCGGCGGCTCGGCGCTGTTTGCTCCGCGCGGCGCGGCTCGCGCTCTCCCCGGAACGCCCACACTCTCAATCGCTACATTGTTGACATTCGGCGCTGACGTCACCCGCTCCCCATTCACAATAACTTTACGGGAGCCGGGCAGCGCACCTCCCCGGCCGCTGGGGCGCCGTACGCCTGGCGACTAGCGTAAGCCGCTCCGCGAATGGCGCTCCGGGGGCTGGGGCGAGGGGCGGGGGCGGGCACGCGCGCTCCGACGACTCGCAGGAGGGGGCGCGCCTCACACTGCTGCGGCCGCTGCTCTCCGGGCTTTGTGCGGCCGCGCGCCGGTACAGCTTGGTGCTCCGGGCCCAGCTGTCCGCCTGGCTCCGTCCCGCCCGGCTGTGGACTTGCAGGGGCCTTGAAATGCAAGGACTGGGGTCCAGTGGAGTGGGGAGTGTGGTGAAGGCTGCCAGTGTGTCACGTAGGAAGGGGGCAGAGTCCCAGGCACTACACCCAGGAAGGGGAGCCAGACCTCCAGACCCGGCATTACTGCGTTGTCCCGCGTTCCCCAGGAGGGGCACGAAAAGACGCAACACGGACCCCCACAAAGCTGACCCTTTGGGTGGGGGTGGGGCGAAGAAGAGTAGCCCCGACCCAGTGTTGATGTTGACCTTTTAATCCTTTCAGAGGGCCTCGGCTTGTCCCGCTGAAGGAGACTGTAAGCCCCCACACCAAGGTTTTAGAAAGGGCACAAGCAATTTTGAGGCATAAGTGAAAAGCCAGTCTTCCCAGCTTCGGACGCAGCTCCAACTGGGTTCCAGACTGTTTTTTGCCTCTCTGGAGGGTGCCAGGGTGTTGCTGCTGCACTGTAAGGCCATCGCGTGGCTCTCCTGTCAGAAGAAAGCTTGATGGTGGTTAAGATTTTACAGAAAGTAATTAGGACTTAGTCCGAACGAACATTTGCAATAAAAAAAGGTTGTGTGAGTGTAGTGCTGGTGCCTGCAAGTTTACCCTTGCCAAGGCCAGGAAATTCTGCCACGTTTCCCTGAACACCTATAACTTGGTCCCCTTGTGTACAGGCAGTATTCCATATTATTACGTGTGGTGCTGATTTTTAATGAATATTATAAAACTTTGGCTCGCTCTACTGAGGGAAGGATCATAAATCCCCCCTTCCCCGTAAAATGGGCACTGGCATATGCTGAGGAAGCAGTGAAGTGTTGCACTGGGAGTCTTGTGGTATCAGCCACAGTGTTGCTCTGAATCACCTTCGCTTGAAGGCAGGGTTTTGAAAGGCCCCATTTTGAATGTCTGTGTGGAAAACTAAGCAATGGTGGAAAGGAAGCTGAACGGCCAAGCTGATTTATCTAACAGCATTGTAAAGCCTCCACCTGTAGAGCCACACTGGGAGATTTTTCTTCACTAGCCTTTCCAGTTTTGAGGGGAGGAAAAATCTCAGGTTCTCCTGACTTTGGGTCTGGTGACCTTTTTGATGAAGCACCCTGCTTCTGAGGTCCCTATCTGGCCCCCTGACAAGGACAGAGAATGCTGATCCCTGGTCTGCCCTGGCAAGGCCATTTCTTATAATGTGACTAATGGTGAGATTTCTGTATTTCTCATTCTCCTAAGTATGTGATAACTTTACACATTTTAATAAGCATCCCTACATGCTTTTCTCACAAGAGCGTGGCTTGAGAAGATCCCTATGAGGGTCATGTAAGTTCATTTCTTTTCAAGCAGGCCATGGCTGCCTGGCTGTGAGTGGAGTTGGGCACATCAGTGTTGGGGCCCAGGGGGTAGGGGTGGAGATGCTTCTGCAAGCTGGTCTTGCCACTGTTTCTGGTCCCAAATGGATGTAACAAAGGCCATGTGGTCATTTTAATTCATCTGCTTGCAAAGACTCAAACCAGAGCTTTTTTAGTTTGGACTTCTCAGGTATGAGATGGGACAACAATTAAAGATGAAAAAATCCTAATGCAACTATGATAGGTTGTATTATCTAATCATTCAAGGAGCTGAGTTAGAACTAGTTGCACTCTAAGCACACATCCAGCACTGCAATCGTGTACCTCTGTGGCTGGGGAGTGGCAAAATCTTTGACATAGAGGGACTTGAAGTGCAATAGGAGTTAGTTATTTCATTTTATTTTCAATAGTTAGAAGTGGGTTGAGTTAAATCCTGTAAAAAGGTATTTAGAATTATATTAAATTAGGGTGGTAAGTTAAGTACTAGACACCGTTTTAACAGTACAACCACAGAGGTGAGGCTGTGGTTGCCCTTAGCCTCCTTATTGAGAGTATTTGCTGGCCATTCCCTGGGTTTGTGGTGCTCTTCTGGACACTGCAGGCATTTACAGTGTGAAACATATTTAGGTCCTCCCCTCTGTGCATTCATGGTGGTCACTTGAGTAGAGGTCAACTTATTTCTGGTACTAGCATCATTCAGCTTTCTCTGATATACTTTTTCTTTTCCTACATGATGACATGTATATGCTGGTCCAGAATATGGGCTTCATCGTGATACATTTCTAAGCAGGACATGATTTCCAGGACAATAACTTCGTGTCATAGCATTGAAATCAGTTAAGTTTATGTCTATAAATTACCTTGATTTTATAAAATGAAACAGGCAAAAAAATTAATGTATCCTGGAGACAAAAAGATGAGGAAAGGAAAACGAAAGAAGCAAGCAGTCCTGGGGTCTTCAGTTTCCTTGTCATCCAGCACCGTGTTACAGGACCTGGTAATGGTTTTTCTTAGGCAGAATTTTAAATCTGGTGCCTTGAGTAAGACATAGTGGGGCAAAGTTAACATCCAATGAGAGAGTTCAGAATGGGATGTTTAGAGGGAGAATGCCAAAGCCCGGAGGAGCCAACACACTGAATGAAGTTCTGTTAGGAAGAAACTGAATTTTACTCATTGGGCAAATTCCTCAGCATTGTAACTAAGGTTTTTTATTTCAAAACCAGATGTTTTGAAGTGTGCCTAAACCATAAAATCTCAGCTAGTACTGCACAGGTGACACTTGGGAGAATGGATGAAATTTGAATAGCTTCAAGGGGTATTTTGTTCAACAATTGTTGGGCCACCTGCTATTATGTAGCAGGTACTGTTCTGTAACTTGGGATCAGAATTCTTTTAGTGATGAGATTGGGATGAGGAGGGAGACAGACAATAAGCCTTTCCTTCCTTCCTTTCTACCTGTCTATCTATCTATCTATCTATCTATCTATCAATCATCTATCTAGTATGGCATCATATACCATACAGAGAATAGAGGTAAAGCGTGCTATTAAAGCAAAGTAAGAAAGGAGCTCAAGAGTACTGGGTGGGGCCATTTTTAGATAGGGTGGTTGTGTCAGGGAAGACATCCCTGATGAGAGGACATTTGCGCAGAAGTAGAAATGAAGTGAGGGGACAAGTTCTGCAGCTACATTGGGGAAAAGCTTTTCACATATGAAGAAGAGTAAGTGCAAAGGCCCTGAGGTAGAGTGGACTTGGCGTGCACCAGGGACAGCAGAGGAGCCACTGTGTCTGACAGAGAAAAGCAGGAGATGATGCCAGAGGGATATCCAACAGACTTGTAGTTTAGGGGAAAATAGAAGACATTTTTAGGGGTTTCTGTGGAGAAAGGACATGACCTAACCTTGTCTCTTGAAAGATCATCCTGTTTGCTAAGTGGAAGAGAATACAAGAGTGGAAGCATAGAGATCTGGTAGCGGATATTGAGATAAACTAAGAGGTGATGGTAATTTGGACTCCAATCATTACTGTAAGTGGAATCTAGATATATATTCAAAATAAACCAGACAAGACTTAGTTATTCAATTGTGAGATGTGAGAGAAAGAGGAATCAAAGGAAATTATGGATTTTGGCCTGAACAGCTGATTGGTGGAGATTCTACTTACTGATATGAGGAAGGTTACAGAAGGAGTAGGTATGTGGAGGATGATCAGGTGATTGGATTTGGATATAGTAAATTTCTGATGCCCATCAGACATATAAGTGTAAAAGTTGAGTAGGCAATTAGACCTGGGAGTCTGAACTTCAGGAGAGAGGTCCAGACTAGAGATAGATATCTGTGTTATCAGCATAGAGAATCTGGGTATGTGGGTGGGGAAGAGATGTGAGGATCGAGATCTGGGGCACTCTAATATTTAGAGGACAGAAGATGCAGAAAATGAAGAAGATCTGGCCAAGGTGGCTGAGAAACAGCAACCAGTGAGAGAGACAAGGAGAGGGGAGTGTAGCTTCTTGAGGCCAAGTAAAAGAGAGTGTTTACAGAAGTGGGGTGTAATTGGCTGTCAGTGCCGCTGATAGGTCAAATAAGATGAGAACACATTGGTGACTTTTAAATTTGCCTTAGAAGAGAGGAGTGGTAGGGACTAAATCTGGCTGGAGTGAGTTTGAAAGAGAGAGAGGGAGAGGAAGAGGAAGAGGAGGTGTAGACCTCTGTTTAGAGGAGCTTTGCTATGAAGGAGAAAATGGGGAAATGGGTAGAGGGTCATGGTCACTAATTAGAGCTCGCTGATGAGAATAATCCTGTCAAGAAAGAAAACCATTGATATAAAAGGGGATAACTTCTGGAGCGAAGTTCTTGAGTCAGCTAGTGGGTCTTATTTAAAAGATAGGGCCAGTTCATCCTGAGCAACAGGAGGGGAAGTTATGGCAGGGATGTATGGGCTAGGGGGTGGCTAGATAGCCGTGGTGGGAAATGTGGGGTGTCGTCGTCGTCTAAGTGATTCTGTTTTCTCAGTGGACTAAGAAGCGAGATCAGCAGCTGATAGTGGAGGAGGGAAGGCTGTGAGGGAGAGAGAAGGCGTGGACTAGTACAGGGTCATGTAGCAGGGCTTTGGGGCAGCACAGAGGAAATGCTAGGGTTACTCCTAGAGTCTATGGGCATGCCCCTGCCCAGCAAAGTGATTTCTCATTGTACAAAATGTCACATGAGTTTTGGAAAAGAATCAGTGTATTCCAAACTACAGAGCATTGTAACTTTCCAGTGTAACTAGAATCATGCAAAAATTTTACTTTTAGCTCTTGTTTAATTGTACTGACAACCCTTTTAACTGTTTATCTCTCTTATCTGTTCCATTTTTATCTCTCCCAAAGATCCACCCATTCCTAAGAGAGCCTTTGGAAATAGTAT